AAAGATGATAAACTTACTTTCTGACCATGATACAGTGGATGTCAAAGAGAAGACATGATTAGTTATTGAATGAGGATTCCAGGACCGACCACTAGAAGAGAAAAACAATCCTTCAGGACTGTTCTGAAGGAGAAGGGACCCATAGGACATGGACGAAGGGGCTGGTCCTCAAAAGGGAGGACGGAAAATCAAGGAGGATGGGGTGACCCCCAAGGACAGCCCCATTCACTCTGTGCTCCAAGGGACATGGGACACAGAGAGGTGGAAGCCGAATTCAGCAGGAACCCCTTCCCTGCTCCAGGCCTACCCCTGGGGCTTCAGAAACTGCAATGAGCTGAAATTCAGGACATGAATTTTGTCTTCTTTGTTCCACAGATTTAAGACAGAACCCAGCCCCATTCAGTGCACCTTGAGCACGTGAGAGGCTTCTCGAAGGGCCAAGCACTGCGGACCTGCCCGTCTGAGTTTCTCTTGAACAGCAGCAGAGGATGCTCACCCTCTCTGGGCCCCGGTTTATTCCTCTGGAGATGGGAAAGGTCCCTGCACCCAGGAGGCGGTGGTGGTGTGCACAGTGCTCGCGGTCGGCGCGGCCCCCGAGGTCACCAGCTCACACCCATGAGATGGTCCAGTGTGGAGGCCGGGCCGGCCCGCTGAGCTCACGCCGTCAGCCTCACAGGCGGCGCACCCTGGCCTGGCTGAAGGCCCCGGCAGTCGTCCCGGGCATGCAGGGCCTGGGGGCCGGCAGGGACTTGGATGCAGGGCGGGGTCTGGCCGGGAGAATGGAACTGAAACAGCCGACGGAGGGCTCTGAGCACAGGGACTTGCTCTCTTGCAAGAAGCCCGGGGCGGACACAGGCATGTCCAGAGCGAGCTAAACCGGCTACGGGCTGGGACTAGAGGACGTGTCTGAAGCGGTCCCAGAGTGCTCTTCCAGAACCCGCCTTTCTGAGCAGCAGTATCGTGACCACGAACACTGACCGTGAAAGGCCAAGGCCAGCAGCCAAGCTCCACCGTTCATGAGCCAAGAGGTTTTCCCCTAACCACTGCCCAGCAGGTGGCTCTCGGCTCCCCATGGGGGCCGTGGGACAATTTCCACTGTCCAGGGAGGCTCTGCCTACAGGGACCACGGAACAGGCCAGTTGGGAAACTCACCGGACTCAATGGTAACGTAAAGTGTAAGTTTTCCACCCAAACTGAGCAGCGGCTCTCAGACCACTGGAGAACCAGAGCATCCCTGACCCCATAGTCGGGACGCGCCATCCCTCGGGTCCCAGGCAGGAGCGGGGTTGCAGCACGCTCAGCCCTGGACACTGCTCCCATCGGGGGCTGGTGCGTCCTCACCCCAGGGCAGGCTGCCCCCTCACGCTCCCGTCTCGGGCCTGAGGATGCGCCCGCTGAGTGGGCTTGGCTTTGGCCACAGCCGTCCACAGCCATCGCCATGAAGACACTCAGGACCTCAGGAAACACAGGCAGGAAGGCCTCAAATCTGCCTTGTCACACACCTCTTTCCAAACCCCTAAGTGACTCACAAGAGAACCTCTGTGTGACCTTTAACACCATCAGTGCTTCGAACATTCTGGGTCAGAGGTCATGCAGAAAGAGCGCAGTGTCGGGAAGAATCTGGGCCCAGTCTATTGATCTTGCCTGGAACTCAGTCCAGGGCCTTGAAGTCACGGGCCGGCCCTGCTCCAGGACATGGTTATGCCGGAACTACAGGGGAGCGGCACCACCAGCTCTGTCCGAGGGTCCTCGTGATAAATCTCTTAGGAACTGCCCCACCACGGGAAGCCAAGGGAACACAACAGTGAGACCTCTTTTCCAGCCATTCTTAGTGAGAACTAGCCCCCAAGGCAGGATGTTCGGGGCTGAGGTGTTTCTTGGTGGCCACTCCCCTTCCCTAGATCATCTAAGTTGCCTAAGGACTGGTAGGGACTTCGCAAGTTAGAAAAGCGGAGGATAAACCACACACCCTTGTCAAGACTTCAGTTAGGTGACCACAGGCCGACTGCAACAAAGACGTGTGCCAGGAGCGGGCACGTCCACGCTGCGGAGGCCACCGCCTCCCGTGTGCACCTGCTGCCGGAGCCCAGGCCCCGCACGCTGTGCACACGAGCCCCAAGTACCTCGAGCATGGATGAAGGTGGGGCATGACCCCCCACAACTGGAAGAAGTCAGGGAGCCCCGGCCACAAGGGAGCGAACTCGGAATCCTAGGACTTCTGGGGACCAGGGGTCACTGCAGTGACCCGCAGGTCCTCAACTCAAAGCTGAGTAGCATGGACCGTGTGAGCCATGAGTGGCCTCCAGTACCCACCCTGCTGCCCCGCCACGTCCCAGCGAGGCCCAGGGAACAGGGCCTCCTCTCGCCTACCCTGAGCCTGCGGAGGGACAGGTGGTTCCCCCTCCCTGGGGCTCCCGGCTGACAGGTGTGACTTACTGACTCGATGGGCTCCTTCTAGGGGCCTGGGGCTCCTGTGCACCATGTCGTGCTGAGGGCCGTGGGCAGCAGGGTCCCGCCCCCCGCCCACCCCAGTCCATCAGTGTGGTCTCGCCAGCCCCATCCTACCTGCCCAGGGCCCCCCAGGGTGGTCACTGCTCACCTGGACCACCTCAACACCACCTCCAGCCGCTCTCCAGTGAGTGGCCACAGGTACATAGAAACCCTCTAGCTTCCTGTCACGGCTCCCCTCCCCCGTCTCTACCTCTGCACCTGCTCCTGGCCAGTGCTCCACAGCCTCCTTGCTGTGCCACCAACATGCCAGCTCCCCCAGCTCAAGGGCTTTCCAGTGGCCCGAGCCACAGACACACCTGTCACTCTGCCTGCAGCCGCTGTTCACAGCACTGACATGGGGCACAGTTGTTGCTTTCTGGGGTTCTCTGCAGCCTTGTCAGAATGTAGGTGCTGCGTGCAGAGGGTCTTGTTGTGTCCTCGGGGCAGCCCCTGCTGGGAGCCCTCTGGAAATCCTTGGGGAAGGAGCAAATGAAAGGGTTGTCTCAGGCCCCATGGTGGAACGTTCTAGCACACACCCTCCCGGGGCCTGGGAGGCTGAGACACGTGGTTCTGTCACTCACTGCTCTGTAGGACTTTTTTTTTGTTTTTATTTTTTTAAGATTTTATTTATTTATTTGACGGAGCGAGATCACAAGTAGGCAGAGAGGCAGGCAGAGAGGGAGGGGGAAGCAGGCTCCCCGCTGAGCAGAGAGCCCGATGCGGGGCTTGATCCCAGGACCCTGGGATCATGACCTGAGCCGAAGGCAGAGGATTTAATCCCCTGAGCCACCCAGGTGCCCCTCTGTAGGACTTCTTAAATACCTCCTCATAAACTCTAAATATGTTATATTTTAAGGTACATTTCGACTGCTTAGCTGTTTAAAATGTGTTCTTAGGGGCGCCAGGTGGCTCAGTTGGTTAAGCATCTGCCTCCTGCTCAGGTCATGATCCCAGGGTCCTGGGATCAGGCTCACTGCTCAGCGGAGCCTGCTTCTCCCTCTGCCACTGCCCTGCCCCCTACTTGTGCTAATTAAAAAAGAATTTTTTTTTAAAGTGCTATTTTTAAGCAATCTAATTTGACCTAAGAGAGATGTAGAAGGAGCAGTTTCTCTGGAAAGCATCATCGGTGCCACAGTATCGCACAGCGGGCTGGTCGGAGATGGCACACGGACAGTGTCACGTCAGGTGTGAGGGCCTCCCTCCTGGCCCAGAAGGTGAGCAAACGCTAGGCTTCAGCTGCCGTTCCTCTGTACGCAGCTCGGAACCACAACTCTGAAGTCCCCAAACCAAGGAGAAGGGAACTTTTCACTGCTCTGTTTAAGTTCAAGAATGTGAAATGGTAGAGCCGCCCTTCCTCTTGAGTGGAAAGCAAACACTCCAACACAAACACCACCTGGTTTCCAAAGTTTATTAAAAATCAAAGAATAGAAAAACTTTACATAAAAATATGTCAATTTTAGCTTCCACATTGTTGTCCACACACACAAAAAAAATCGAAACGTGATACTGTTTTGTTCACCGTGTAGCGCGACCACATGGGTGGCCAGGCCAATTCATCCGGCTCACGACGGGTGCAGCGCGGTGCCTGTGTCTGTGAATCGAGCTTTAAAATGCACCCCTGCGGGACCCGCGCCCCGCAGGGGCTCCTTAATGTAGGGGGACAGTCAATATTGCTAATGTGTGGAGATTAGTACAGGCCTACGTATCAGTTTTTATAAATATTTCTTTATCAATAGATTCACAATTTAAATATCTTTAAATATTTTTGATAACTTTCGATCAAGAACTGCAAACATGTGCTACTCTCTTCTGGAAGGCCCCCTGGAGAAGCCGCAGCCGCAGCCAGGGGCCGGTCCCGGGGGAGAGGCCGAGCCTCTGCGGATCTTGGGGGAGAGCCCGGGACCCCGCCCCCAGGCCGCACTCCAGCTCCCCGCTCCGCACATCCATCAGATGTCATGGTAGTTCAGTCTCTTTGACTTGACCTTCTCTACGAGTGGACTTCAAAGACCAACCTACCTGTAGTGTTCAGCAGGGCCGGAACCCCCCATCTTAAAAACGGGAGGTCAGGTGACCTATGAGATGCAGCTAACACCCAGGACAGCTGTGGTGCTCCAAAAACTCAGGGTTCGGCCACGGGGATATATTCTTGCTCAAAAGAAGGTAACGAAGACAGCGGCTGTCACGGCAGACCACACCTGCACAGTGCACCTGTCTGCTCTCCAGGTCGCGCGCCGGCTGCTCCGGGCCCCGACCCCAGGCTGTGCCCTCCTGCGGCGCGTTACAAATACTCCCCCGTGCACTGAGCAGCTGAAGTACTCCTCGCAGATTTGCTCTTAACAGAACGAACGCATACAACTACACAGATTCCTCAACGGAATCAACATAATTCCTTTCTCCACATTCCTAAAACTGGGTGCCCTTGTCCGCGCTGATGGTCACCGGACCCATCCTGGCAGGCTATGGGACTAAAACAAACCGAAGCACTTCAAAGTTCACATTTTTTTTTTTTAAAGATTTTATAATGTGACAACCCTTTCTCCCCTTAGAAAGTTCTATTTCTGGCACTTTAAATGCTGGATTTGTTGTCTACTTGAAAAGAACCGAAAACCGAAATGTTAAAGGTCTGCGGTCAGAGCGAGACGACAGACAGGCCGGACGGCAGGGCCGGCGGGCAGCTGGTCAGAAGGCCTGGGAGCCGAGCCCCTGCAGAGAAGCGCAGGGCTGCCGGGCTCCCCCGCCACGAACAGAGAGGCCTCGAGTCTGACCAAAAGAAAAACAGAAAGAAACCCCGAGCCCCTCACTCACGGTGTTGGTAGCAGCGCTCCTCAGACAACCAGCCGACACGATGAACCCAACTTAGAAAATGCGACTCGGGAAAGGACCTAAGCTTGTTTAAAAAACCTCCTCCCTTAAATATAACTTATGTGAAAATATGAATTAAATAAAAATATCTGAGTTATTGCACAAATCATAAGTTTTCAATATTTACATAGAAAAACAGTTCTGAAATTTGAAAACAAAACGTGAGGGCAGTGACACAATGGCGACCTCCCAACCCTACCCACTGAGGAAGGAACGAGAACGGGGGCTGACCTCTGCTACTCTGGCGGACGTGCCCTGGAAACACCCCAACCACACCGGACCCAGACGGGCCGTCGGTCCCGCAGGTCCCGGGGCAGACCTGCTCCGGCCCTGAAGGAGAAGCGTCCCGGGAAGGCAGACACAGCGTCCACGCTTAATAAGGCTTCACAGATGAGCACAAGGAGCTGTTCTTTAAGATGGACGTGACCACCACACGAGGGACATGCAGAGTGGTCAGCGGCGGGCGGTCCGAGGGGCCCGGGCCGACGTGCTGGATGCTGGTCTCAGTTCCCGGCTGGGCGCCGAGGCCGAGGGGAGGGGGAGCGGGAGGCGCCATCAGGGGCTATTATCTGCTCAGACTGACGGGCAGGCTGTCCCTCGTGTGCGTGTGTTTTTTCCTCCTCCAGCCGGTGCGGTTGTACTGGTGGTGTCCTCGGTTGCCCACGGGGGGGGCGCACGCCTCCACTGCCCACAGAGCTGTACGTGCCGCCCTGGCTGTGGTTGTGGGAGCCTTTCAGGGACAGCTTCATGCCGCTGTGCTGCTGGAGAGACAGAGAGGGACGGCAGTGTGGGCGGCTGCCCTGGAGACCCCAGACGCACGCCTCCATGTGCCCGAGCTGCGCCCTCCACCCCCACCACGGAGACCAGGCCCGCGGACGGCGAGCACGCACAAGGGCTGCACCCGACGGCCACGTGCAGTGTCCCAGGGATGGAAGAAGGAAGGAGCGCAGAGCCCCAAGCTTGCGGGTCACAGGGACCGTTACACCCAGCAGACAGTACCGCGCCCACTTAGTGACCCGGCCGGCTCAGAGCACACACACACTCTCCCATCTGAAGCTGGGAGCGTCACACTCCTAACTGGTCCTGTGTGTGCACAGAACGTTATCTTCCCCACTTCAGCTCTGACCTCGTGCAGACACACACGGGAGTTCACGTGCAGCAGGCGGCGCTCCGGCTACCGAGGGCAGGACGCCACACACGCCAGGCGGGCACTCAGGCAGCTGCTCTACCCACGGCCCGGCACGAAGCCCACCAGGAGAACACGGCCGCTTTCGGGAAGGGTGCCGAGCAAACAAGCAGCAGAGGGGGTTGTGCGGGAAAGCCAAAATGCATGAAGGAAGGTGCTTTCCCCTTCAAGGAGTTATCTCGCCCGTCTTTCCAGCAGGCCAGCGGGAGATGCCCGGGGTGCCCTGAAAACCCCATCGTGACCCAAGGGGTGAATCCAAGGAGGAAAGCTCCCTGACTTAGCTCCAAGTGAACACAACAATCTGGCCTTAATGACAACTCAGAGAGCCAACCCCTAAACACGAAAAACTTACTGGCAAAATACAATCAGATAAGCAACAGAGAAACGGACTGCAGTCATCGAGGTGAGTGTCCCCAGTGTCGTCAGAGCCCAAGGGAACACATTCACCTTCAGACACCGCACCTGACTCCTACAGGCAGACACTGCCACAGCTCTCAGAAACGCTCCGGCTCTTCAAGGGCACAGGGAATGAGCTAACAACCTGTTTTCCAACCCCAGAACAGTTGCTTGTGTGCAGACTCTGGGCTTAGAGAAGCCACAAGGGCACCAACAGATGCACTCACGGGGCCCCTCCGGAACCGAGAAAGCAGACCCCACGCAGGGCCCCTGCCCCGGCCGCCCAACACAGAGGAGGAGCCGGTGAAGCCACACAGGCCGGGCGGCACCGCGCCACGGGTCCCACCAGCATTTGTCCCTGACGTATCAGCCAAGTGTTTGGCATCGAAGTTAAGTCGGTGGAAAAGGAAGACAGATGCTTAAACTATATTTGAAAATAAGTTTTAAAGTTTCATCCACCACAAAGAAAAACGTGAAGCTGAATGATGAGAAAACAAATTCCGTTTTAAATCCCATCTCTGTGGAGCCCCATGTCCGGCGGAGAGAGCAGGAAGCCCTGGGCTGTGGACGCCGGGCCCGGGCCAGGTGGGAGGCCTACCTTGTGATACAGGTGAGGGCTTGAGAGCGGGTTGGCAGATGCGGACGGAACGGCTGGGGAGGACATGTGGTGAACGGCTTTCAACGCCGGAGTTCCTTCAACGCTGACTTGTCTGCAAGGGACGGGGGCCACCCCCAGGGTCGGTGGAGGTATCGTAAACCTGGTCTAGGAACAGAAAGACCAGAGGCATCCATGAGGCCCCAGGCGCACACAGGTCAGCGTGCTCGCGCTGAGCCCCAGCAGGGAGGGCGCGGCTTCGGAAGGGCCATTTGCAAGCAGGCTTATGGTGGCGTCTGCGTCTTCCTCTAACCTGACCGCATCTGTTTTGCATCAGAAGCATTCCACACCCTGCGACGGCACTCCAGCAGGGAGCAGGTCCAGTGACGCGAGTCGTAAAGTCTCGTTAGTCACGAAGACCAAGCCACAGCTCAACAGACCAGTCCTCAGAGTAACACCTGCCCTCCGGTCTCCGGAAAGAGCGGAAATGCAGCCGCCACCCGCAGTCCAGGACGGGAGGCCCGACGCCGGTCGAGGCGATGGCCTGTGGAGGGTTGCCGGCCCGCAGAGGGGTGCCGGGGAAGGCTGGCCCCTCGCTGCCCCCCGTCCCTCTGGCCCCGGGACCGCTTGTCTTTCTGCATCATGGTGCCCGCGGGCTGGGGTGCCGGTGCGAAGCTCTCGTAGACCTCCGGGACCCGCACAGCTCACCCCGAGCAGCCCCACGCATCTGCCCTCTCAGAGACTGGCTGCGGCCCCACCGCAACAGCAGTGGATGGAGCGGAAGCTGGGGTCCTCCGGGTGGTGCTCTACGGGGGCGACAGAGCCCACACATGGGGGGCTGGAGCCCATGCAGGCTCTCTCCTCAGCGGGGTCTTCCCTCGCCCGGGAGCCTGCGTCCCCGGGAAGAGCCCACGCCTGGGTCTGCTGGACTCATGCCCCCGGCTCTCAGGGCCCACGTCATCCCGAGCGGGGCGCTCTGTCGCCCGCAAACTCCCAGGGACAGAGTGCCCGTGATGTGCACAGCGGGCGTGTACTGAGCTGCTCCACTAGAAGTCAGGTTTACAGATTAAAAACAAAACGAGAAAGGGGGCCTTGAGCCTTGGCTTATGATGTAAATGATCTTAGCTTTAGCCTTACCCGCTGTTAGCAAAGTGACAGACGGGACCAGGGTGCCAGCAGCGGCCTGTGACCAGCTGGAACCACGCACACAGCATCAGGGGGACCACTGCCCCGTGGCCACACTGGTTCTCGGGGAACCCAAGCCCCTGGGGGGGTTAGGACACCGTGGCCAAGTGCTCCAGCGTTAGGCTCTCACGCAGGACTGACACCATCCCCACGGCCCGGGAGCCCCGTGAGAAGGCCCTCTCAGGGCAGAGAGCCAGATGACAGACAGTAGTCTGCAGGTCTGCACGCGCCCACATCTCTCTCTGCTCAAATTACAACCCACACCACAGAGATGACCTTCCTTCACAGGTGAATTAACACAAGTTTTTACACATACATGTTCAATTATATTTAATTGTGGATACCACACTTAATATTTTTAAAATTATCTTTCAGGCTTCTAATTTCATCTAAACTGAAAAAAAAAAAAAGAACAGAGGACATATTCTATATAAATCCTGTCTAATAATAACATGAGGAAGTCAAAGTTTTAGTATAAACTTCTCGACAGTATAAATGTAGACACTCTGAGAGGAAGCAGGACGGTGGTCCTTTCCTGCCAGGGGCTTAGGGCAGGTAGTACCAGAGTCCAACTGACGTGGCCCAAAGGACCACAGTCTCAGGCAGGGTATCAGTCATTTTCAGAAAGATGCTCAACCCGGACCTTGTCTGAAGCCCCTCAGTGCTCAAGAGCCAGGAGCCCCCCTGCCACAAACACTGTACAGGGTAGGCCTCAAGGACACAGTCTCCTAGAGAATGACAGGAGTTACATCTGATCTGTCCACAAAGGACAAGGATGCCCTAGGAGATAGGAATGTACCTTCTGAAGATTTCCGAAGATCTGTCTCTAATTCTATGGTACCAGGAGCCCCCAGAGCACCTGCACCAGCTCAGACGTGGTCCCCAGGGGCCCGTCTCAAGGAAGGGCACGGGCCCGCCGCATACCTGAGTGTTAGTTGTCATGACCAATGTTCTGGAAGTAGCGGACTGAGGTTTGCCGCTCGGCATGGGCAAGGCGGTGGGTAAGCCGGCCAGCAGAGGCGTTGGTGCTTGCAGACTGAACTGGTAAACGCTGGGCGTTGTGCAGGGCGGTGTGTCAGAGTCCTTGGAATAGGAAAAACAACAGAGACAACCGCAGAGTTGCGCTGCTTCCTCGTGACGATGCCACAGAAGGGCACGAGCATATGGCCCTACCCGCCGAGACGCCCGCCCTCCTGCCAAGTTCTCTCAGGGAACACGGGACAGACCCCTCACCTAAATGTGTCACCCCACGAGAGCTCTAAAACGCTCTCCCAGGCAGTCGCTACAGCCACGTGAGCGGCAAGGATGGGGTCCCCGACTGCCGGCAGAGGCTCGTGGCAGAGCGGGGGCCCCTCGGTGCTGTCTGGGGGTGGCTGCAGACACACCCGAAGGGGAGGTTGCGCACCCTGTGACTGACGCTCCCCAAGGGCACACTCACAATGTCACTCCCGGAAAGCGAAGACACTGAGGAGGCGGAAGAGCCTGACGAGAGCAGCTGGGGGCTGGGCAGAGACAAGGTCAGGCGCTGGCTGAAGGGGGACTCCGGGTCCCGGCGCTGGGGCGGATCCCCGTCGCAAGCACTTACTCGCTCTTTTATCTTAATTCTGTTGTCTGTGGGGACAACACAGCCCAGCTGAGCCACTTGCTACGAGGACAGACACACACACCCCGCCAGACAGCCTCCAGCCACAGGGGCCGCCGAGCCTTGACAGGTGGCTAACAAGACTCCCAAACTGATTTCTGATTTACCTAATTTACTTAAGTTTAAAAATTGTACTTCTTTCAGTTATTAGACAACCTTGAGATATGTCTAGAACAACCTGGATGTGTAAACAGTTTTCAACTGTGAATCTTAGGGACTCTGAACGCAGGGTACACGTCTCTGGGGAGGCTGGGGCAGGGAGCGCTGTGCACACTGGGTCTCACGGGCACAGCAGCAGCCTGGGGGGGGGGTGGAATCGCTCCAAGACTCTTTATGAAGACTCCATGTTGAAATGTTATTATTTTGGGGGTGCCTGGGTGGCTCAGTGGGTTAAGCCTCTGCTTTTGGCTCAGGTCATGGTCTCAGGGCCCTGGGATCAAGCCCCACATCGGGCTCTGCTCAGTGGGGAGCCTGTTTCCTTCCTCTCTCTCTGCCTACTTGTGATCCCTGTCAAATAAATAAATAAAGTATTAAAAAAAGAAAGAAAGAAATGTTACTATTTTCAATACTATGCTAAATAAAATGCAATAGGAAAAGGAATTTCACCTGTTTCTTTTCACATTTTTAATGCACTTACTACAGGAAACTTTAAAGGTCCGTGTGTGGCAGGCACTGTATTCCCACTGCCCTAAATCTCCCAGCTGTAAACTCTTACGGAAGACGAGGCCTTTCCTTAGTGGGAACAATGAGCACCAAGGGACAGAAAGACGTCCCTGCATCAAGGCATCAGAAGTTCAAGAGCAGCGCGACCGGACAAGCTCTCACCCAGCTCGGGTGCCGGGGGGGCCTTGCCGCCCCACTTCTCCTTGATCCACCGCCGGTAGTCGATCACTTCCTGGGTCACTTTGATGATTCTTCCTAGAGTACTGCAAAGGGACAGCGGGGGAACCAACGTGCTGCAGAGCGGCTGCGGAACCCACAAGCCGTTCTGACTAGCTGTTTTATATTTTCAACAACATATCACTTTGCCCAGAAAAAAGAAGAAAGCCAAAATAATTTTACAAATTGTATTCCGATTTCTGATGCTGGAGCCCAAATGCACTCTGAGATCACACTACAGAAAAAGTGAGTTCCCTTACACAGATGTCCTTGAACCTAGAGCCGGCTACTACAGAAGACGGCTTCAACCCTGTGCGTGAGCAGGAGAGCACCCCCGCCCCGCCCAGCACCCACAAAGGTCTGGTACCAGCAGACGGTGCCGAGACTGCAGACACCCGGCACAGGCCCAGAGCCCTGCTGGAAAGCCCCGCTGAGTGGGCAGAGGCACAGAACCCACCAAGAGCCGGTGAGCGCAAGAGCCGGTGAGCGCGAGCGCCGGGCGCCGGAATCCCCGTGCTGCACGGGGCCCGTGGCCTCTCGCCACCACCTTACTCTTCCTCCTTTCCACTGCCCCCTCACTCCCTCCCTCCGCCCGCCAACCCCGCCACCTCCCGACCACTGCGCAAGGATTTCTCACTGCCAGTACAAGTGCACACTGCACAAGTGAGCCCAAACGCAGAATGAGGGACGGGTCTGCCGGAGAGATGCAGGGTGGGGCCCGCGGACCCACGTGTACTCTCCCTTTAAGCTCATCATGTGCATTTTGAGAACAACCTGAAGAAAAAGCATTACCTTCCAAAGTGGGAAAAGGCCAGAAATCATTTCCCCAAAATAAAATGCCCTGAAGAAATGGTGGACAACCCCCAAATAAGAAATTTTCATTGCTCAGCCACGGATGAACCAAACGTGGCCCTCCTCATCGATCATCGCAAGTTCTACTAGAATGTCGTAGAATGGTACAAATTGGTGTACACATTCTACGACTATGTAGTAGAATGTACTATGAATGGCGAACCCATTCATAAACCTCACGGAGGCCAACAACCGAGGCCAGCAGCGCCCGCCGCACAGAGGCTGAGGCAGGGAGCTGCCAGGCCACCCGGGCCGTGAGCCCAGGACAGCGACACGACCTGCATTACCTTTCCGAGTCTCTGTTGGGATAGGACCTCGCAAGGGGCGACACGGCGTGACTGAGGACAATGTAGGCATAGTCAAACACCTGCTTCACCTGCATGGCCCCGTATGAGCTGCGGCCAACGTCGTTTCCTGAGACAGAAAGGCAGCTGTAAGACCCTGCAGACACCGGGCCCTTCGTCCAGACCTGTGTGATCGTCCCAGTTCTTCTGCAGTGGGCCCTGGCCACGGACACACTCCCAGACCACACCAGAGAGCCGAGGCAGCAGCCTCAGTCCGAGTGCAGCCGTGCTGACAGGGCGTGCACCGCAGCGGGCACCTGGCCTGGGCACCTTGCAGCTCAGTCAGCACCCACCGGACCTGCAGGAAGCGAGTCCTTCAGGGCAGAAGGCAACCAGGTCTCCTCTCTCCAGTTCTAAGGACCAAGATGGGTGGCAAATCAGACGAAGCCATCGTCACTGCAGTCACCAAGTGAGCCCCAGTCAAGGAACGTTTAATAACAGCACAGTTGGGGATTTTAATTCACATTAACTCATTCTTCACAATTCAAGGAAGCAGGATGCTTTAGAAGCCATTCTGAGTACTGGAATTTTCTCTCTTCCAGGTCTGATACTATAATCCAGTGATAATGTGGGCTTTCGTTTTTCAAGTACATTTAAGCACTGAAGACACTGGAATCCCTGTAATTTAACTGATCGAACACAGACAAACGGATGTGGAAATACGTTCCTCTGCTGCTGGGAAAAGCCATTCTGAAAATATATGCGTCAGTCCTGCCACTAGTGAACACCAGGACCCTCGGTAGTTTCCTGCCACAAGATTTTTAAGAAGCGAATGTCCTACTCCAGCAGCCATGAAACAAAACAAAAAAATCCATTAAATTTAAGGACATTAAAAAATATATACAGAAACGGAATAACGAAAAACACCAAATCCAGATGCAAGGGACAAACTGGAGCAGAAAAAAAGCGGAGCACGGCAATGGAAAAGAGGCAGGACCCCACGACGTCATGAGGAACACAGCCGGGCGGACACAGACTAAGCACGTGAATGCGCACACCGGGGGACAGGCGCGGCGCACCGGGGCGCAAGGTCTCCACCACTTTTGTCACCTGTCACTGACTTCATCACCAACAGTAACAACAGTATCTCACATACTAGACGCTCAATAAGTATTTGTGGACTCGACAAATAAATATTTGCTTCTCCTCACTCATCATTAAAGAAATGCAAACTCGGGGCGCCTGGGTGGCTCAGTGGGTTGAGCCTCTGCCTTCGGCTCGGGTCATGGTCTCAGGGTCCTAGGATAAAGTCCCACATCTGGCTCTCTGCTCCACAGGGAGCCTGCTTCCTCCTCTCTCTCTCTCTCTGCCTGCCTCTCTGCCTGCTTGTGATCTCGTCAAATAAATAAATACAATCTTAAAAAAAAAAAAAAAAAAGAAAGAAATGCAAACTCAAGGCACATGTATGTTGCATGGATCTATCAAAGCAGCGAGAGTTATAAAGACCAACCCTAATGGAGGGGGAAGGCGTGCCCTTCGTTATGCTCCTGGGAGTAAAACTAGGGAAACCAGACACCACCTCGGGATGGCCAATGCAGCAATCCTCACAATGGAACATGCCGTACACACACACGGAAGGGATCTAGAATTTGTTCTGAATTAAAAACACAAGTCGCGAAACTGTATGTATTACATGATCCATTTAACTAACAAGACTGCAATAAATATTAATATCCATGTAGGAAAAAAATGGAGAAATGCACACCAGAATGGAAGGGGACTGTGGTCTACCTCACTTTTCTCTGTGATATACTTTTTGGAAGTGAATGGTTTATGATGAAATGTAACAAATACCTTCCTAATCAGAAAAAATCAACTTTTATTCCTTAATTTTTATTTTCTACATTTTTCTGGTAAGTTGCAGAACGTAAACACTTTCCAACTTTATAAGAAGTGAACCGGAAGGCATTAAGACACACTTTGGAAGGTGTCCCCATTAACTGTCAGGACAGCGGGAACCTGCATCGAGGCAAAGGAGCCTTGGCTCGGGGACTGCAGACCCCCGCCTCCCCTCCCTTGCACCTGTCGCCAGCCAGGCCCCCAGGCTCACGGCCAGTGAGGAGCCAGGCCCCCCAGGCCCCCTTACCAGGCAGCAGAGGGTCCTCAATGCACAGCATCGACGGTCTGTACCCACTGGTCATGGCTTTCATGATCTCTTCTTTGGCGATATAGGCACCTCCTTCTTTTATTCTAATACCAGTTTTCAAGTAATTAAAATTTCTTCCATAGAGTTCAAAAAACTCTACAAGAAGCATTCCAAGGTTTTCATCAGCTCTCCGGGCATCGATTCTCGGATGCAACTGGAAAAGCAACAGACCCCACATTTGGACTCAAGTCACTTTCTGAAGACTGCATGCAGCGAGGCCCGCTACCTCGTGGCTCTGCAAGGACACACCCCGGCGACGCCTGCTCACTCACCAAGTCCTTGCAGGCGCTCCGGGCAACAGCCGGAGGCACCCGCACAGCCTGGAGGCCTTAGTCAGTACACAGTGTTGGAAAGAAAGAAAACCTCTAATCTGGATTTTTTATTACACTTTAATTCTCTGAAACTCCTCATCCATTGAGGGTCTTCCTACTGACACGGACCTCTGATTAACAAGTCGCCAAAAATGGATCACTAAGCAGACCACATTCTCCACAACTGAGAGTCATCTAGACACCATGTTATAGGTTCTAACCTTAATCCCATTATTCCAAAACAACCCACAGAGGGCAGTATGAGGCTGAACAGTGTCAGTGTGCCGGCCCGGAAGTGGAGAGATTAACTTTTAACTGTGTACAGGTGATTGGTATTCTGTCATAATATTTACACCAAATTGACATCCCTGCTTGTCACACGGATTAGTGCCGGCCCCAGTTCAGTGCCCCGTTTTCTTCAAGCAGGAAATGGACCCGTTCTGAACATCGGCCTCGTCTGCCGATGCCCTCCTGACCCAAGAGGCCCACAGTACAGACCTGCGCGGCCCATGAGGACAGCCACAGCCGTGGGTGGCTATTTCTACTTAAGTTAATTAAAACAAATTAATTAAACACTTAGTTGGCTGGCCACAGGACAAGCGCTCAGTAGGCACGTGTGGCTTGGGGTCCCTGCGGGCCTGTGCAGACCGAGGATGCGCCAGCTGCATGGGAAGGGCTAACGGACGGCGCAGGTCTGGATGCTGACGGTCATGTCCAGGGGAAAGCACAGCTCCTGACGGAAGCAGGAGGGCTGAGACTTACAACTCACCGCGCCCCGAGGAGAGGCACACCCTGACGCTCACCAGTATTTCTAGGGTCCACAAGCACCATGGCTTCTGAGGATCTGCTCGGGCAGGACAGTATTCTCACTTTTGCCTTCTAGTCAGAGTCAAACACCCGAGTGCTGGCCGGTGCAAGGCTGGGCCCCCTTACCTCAGTGAGTCAAGAAAGGCACAGCTCTGAGGCAGGACAGGCCAGGCACCAAGGGGCGTGCCAGCCAGCCACTCTGCGTGTGCGCTTCTGTGGGGTCACGGGACTGCTGCCAGGACCCCATGGGGTAAGGAGACAGGAGGCGCTGAGGCCAGTGCCCAGCACCATAAAAACAAGTGGCTGGCATGATAACAAGGCTACTGAAATAATTCAAATCAGGAAAAACATGAAGAACTAAGTCAAGAGCAACAGGTTGTATTTAGCTCAAAAGAAAATATCCAAAAATTAGGGAAGAATGTCTCCAAGGGTAGCATCACGGAAGAAAAGATGGAAGGCAAAGCAATGTGAATAAATTGTAAGAAAACAGGAGCAGGATTCCGTTTTCACTATTCTTCCAGTATCTCTGGCAAATAAACGCCACGGGAGTCAAAATAATGAGGCGGTGTGACCGCGACCTCATCAGCAGCATTAACGGGAAAGAGACCTGAATTTTGGACATAAAACCCTAAGCACAATCACAAATACAAAATTAATGACAAACGTGGAGAAGCAGCTAGAATAGACAGGAAAGATTTCGTGAAAAACGGAATATCCTTCATTCAAGAAAATATAAATGGGGTTAATGTTTCCATTAACTCAGAAACTATTTTATATGTTAAGTAACTAACATATAAATAAGTTTATACATTAAATAAAACTGTTTTATATGTCAAGTAAGTATCAACATCACAGCATTTAATACGTCTAGGTAGGTTTTCTACTGACAGGTTGTCCCACGGTACTCAGTAAAATAAGGGCAACATAAAATTTGAGACAAAATATTTATGTCTTGTCAATCTGAGAAGAAAGGCTCTCTCTTCAGCAATTTTTTTTACCATATGTGGTTCCTAATTTTTTTCTGAAACAAATTTTTCATAAATCACAGTCAGTAACCAAGAAAATCAGTTTTTTATTGTCCATCAAGGCATGAAAAGTCTCTCCATGGACAGGGTCCTCAAGTTCGGACCGGCGTGAGCCTGATGGATGGGACCAGGATAGCCTGCCCTCCCTCAAACTGTTCAATCAACTACGAAAATGAGCTATAAAGGAGAAGGAGGAAAGAAGTATCGATCAAAATAGTTTTATTGTGACAATCAGAAGTCAATTTCTCTAAACCAAAGCGAAGCGTGCAGGGAGAGCAGGGGCAGTTGGAACCCACGAGGCAACGGCTTCACAACATCAAGGGAGAATGTGCAATGTGTTCCTACGCAAGGCTGATGAGAGAACGCACACTCACCTGTAGAAAACTAATGGCCATTAAAATTAGGCTGTATGAGCTAATTCCACCTGTAAAAACTTCATTCAGGTCCCTCTGCAGGAGGAACTGTTTCAATACTAAAATCAAGTAAGGCAGCAATGAATATTTCTGTAAATTAAAAAAAAAAAAATCAGTTAATATACCTTTAAACATGTGCCACATAGCAAATTTCACATAGTAGAAAAAAAAGCTTACTCAATCCTCTTACCACCTGGAAGGCTCTAGGCCCATCATCCTCAATTTTTAGGTGCCTGAGAATTAATTATGTGAAGACTTGCTAAGACCCCCCGGGAGCCACATCCCAGGTCATGGTTCAACAGGGATGAGGCTGGAGGAGCTCCTCCCCAAAGCAGAGCTCAGAGAGTCGGAAAGGAGTGTATTCCTTCCAATTAGTTCCTGTGGCCTAGCTTGCTCCATGACAGGTGCAGGCTGGGGGCAGGGAGGAGAGGAGGGGGATGCGGCCGTGAGCCAGGAAGGTCCTGGAACCGATGCGCAAAACTCCAGTGCCCAGGGACCCCCAGGAGAGGAGGGGTGGGGGAAGGGGGTGGTACAGCTCACGAGGCAGGAAGCCAAGAACAGAAGAACATGGACAGCAGGCTGAAGGTAAGAAGGAAATGGAGAGAGGCTGGAGAAGAGGGCTGGGGGACAGTGGAAGCATCTGCTGTTTTCATGTTCTGGGGGGCCCAGAAGTTAAGGGAAGCAGTTTAGGCAGACAAGCCTGCTGCTGCAGAGTTAAGGGAAAAACTGAAGGAACAAGGTCCTTGAACCTGTGGGAAGAGGCAGTATCCACATTACGATGCTGAGGTTGCCTCTGTAAAGGATTTCATCCCTTTCCCTAAAATAGGAGGGAAAGACCATCTATTTAACCGGACCACACACCTGGTCAGCTAGCCCATCATTGGGCACTGAGATGATCCCTAGTAAGCACACCACATCGCGACGCCTTCCACTTCCAATAAACTAAACTCGCAGATCAGGCACACTGAGCTCTCGGGAGGGTCATTTTGTAATCATGAGAAGAGCACTTTCACAAACTCTCTAGAATAACACTCAACTTCGTGGTTAGCCAGGAAAGTAAATCTACAAAACAGCTACATAATTTCGGAGTCTCTCTAGAAATAATATTGCAAGATAAATAATTCAACTGTAAGTCTTTATCATTAAAGACTATCATTCAGTTTAAATCCCACCATATGCCCAGCGTAACAGGTCCCCATTCTGACAGTGCTAACACGCTGGCGACAGCACCTTCATGTAATTCTTGATGAGCTCTGCTGCCCGGACCCCAGTCTCCATGTTAAAGCTGATGTCGACTTTAACTTCAGTCTCCTGGTCTGTGAGTTTTATTATCGGTACCTGCAAAGAGTTAATTGAAAAAAAAAAAAAAAACCTAAGCTTTAATGGCCAACATTCACTGCAGTCTGGAATCAAAATGTTTCCTATGTTGTACCCTGAGGTTCTTCTTCCTAACTCACGAAAGGGCTGAGAGATCATGAACCCCAGACTTTAAAAAATGAGAAGAAAAGGGACTTTTGCCAGAGTCGGCCTCCTTAGTCCTGGCACCCAGACCCCTGCCCCACCCCGCAAAGTTAGGGCTCACCTCTGCCCGGCCCTCCTGGACAGACTCAGAATCAGCCACTACCTGCGGGAAGGCCGGGGCTCCAGGAGGAGAAGCTAAGTCCCTGACCCCCCCAGGGGTGCCTGATGATGGAGCAGGGCTCCAGGTCCCCAAATTACGTTTGTGAGAATTTCTGAAAACACTCAGAGTAGGTTTAAAGCCAGTTTTTCAATTCGGTTTTGTGCTAATGTTGTTTCTCCAAACAATTCTACACTAAGACAATTAGTGTTTTCACTAAGACAATTCAACTAAAAAAACAAACAAACACACCCAAACCAAAAAACCACTTCCCTGTAAAACCAGAGAATAAGAAGCTATTTTGGAAATATTCTCATCAGAAAGACTTACCACCACAAGGTGCTCAAAACCAGCCTCACCAGAACAAAGCCGCCCCAGCAGCCACAGAGGCCACACTCCTCCCGACCCCCACACAAAACTTTTCTTCCCTGAACAAAAGGCAAGACTTTGTTTCCCTCAGCCTCCAAGGAATGGAAGAGGATGTTCTCTGACCAAAATGAGCGAGATCTAATTAGAGGTTGAAGACACCTCACAGAATCCAGGGTGGCAAACTGCAAAGTGCCTAGGACACACTGTGACAGGGACGGGCAGCGGGTGGTGACAGCAACTCCTGGAGATCACCAGGACCACGAGGCACAGTGAGCCCCAGCCAGTGTGGCCTAGGAAGGGAGAAACACAAGAGGCTTTCCCAAACATCTTACCACAAACTATTTCAGAAGGAGCCCAAGCCTCCACAACATACTACACCTCCCTCGTGAAGAACTCCTGTCCCCATCACCACTGGGGACCTTCCTCTCTACACTGAGTGCTTTCCTGAAACCACTCCTGGTGATCACCTGCCCCTGCACACACTCTCCTACACACACACTCACAGGTTGAACCCCAGATCCTAGAGATTACGAAGAGTGCCACAATACTTATTTTTCAGTGGGTGTTCAATATACACAACCGTTCTTCTTAAACGCAGCCATCACGCTGGGTTCCGGGGCTCCGAACCAGATGATGCGGAGGCTGCCCGGCACAGAAGGCTGCACGGCAAGAGCTCGCAAGGAGAGAAAGGAGCAGCGGAAGACCAGTGCGGCTCAGTTACCCTGAGGTCTCTGCAGCAGAGCAGACGGTGTGGTGTTACTGCAAAACCTACCGGACGCGGTCTGTCCTCCAGAATGCTCTGGAGCCCAGGACAAGCAGGCCTGGCCTCTTCACCTCTCTCCGTCTAAAGCAGGATACCTGGTCAGAGACAGCCATCACCTCGTTCTCTTCGAGAAGCCAACACCACGGGACAAATGGCAGAGCCCCAAGAGGACAGGGCTCCGGGCTTTCATCGTGACCACACAGAGGGCAAGTGACTTCAGTTCCGAGCCGTCTCTAGTCCTGGACTCAGATAAACCTCGACGAGCGCACATCAAAGGACCCTCATCTTCCAACTTCTCCCCAAGATCAAAGGTTTTTACATGGGTAAAGTTTTGAATGAAAGAATAGGCAAATTTTGTTTCTTAACTATAACTTGGCAATGGTAATCACTTTCTGGGCAGACGGCATGCTTTCACCATTCGACTACGTGTGCCCAAAATGGCAGCCCCGAACGCGTCCCTTTCTCAAAGTTGATCGAACGTATTCTAGCGCCAAGGGCAGTGTGATGCTCTCACAGCCTGCAGTCATTCGGGGCGTCATGAAATACGTTCTCAGCTAGTGATCCTAACATTCTAAACAAATACAAGTACATTTATATCAGCAGGAGAGAGGGCTCCTGTCCACAGCCTAAGCTGAAGCCACAGGCAAACCACACTGCCGGCAGGGTGTGAGCGCCCACGCGGGGCTGCGGGCCGAGGCCCCACACTTACTGTAGCTTTGTCAAGGACTTTGATGGAGCACGGCTCGGCCACGTTGTGCTTCCGCAGAGCTTGCTCCAACAGCTGCAGAGGAGGGCGCTCCCACTTTCCAAAGACCACTAAGTCGATGTCACTGGACAGAAGAACAAGTGAGTGTGAAGGCTCGGCTCACATCACTCCCCGGGAACGCACACATCTGGGGCGGACCAGTGCCATGGTGTGCACACATCCATCTCTTTCCAGGGTCACACACAGCCCCCTGTGAAGCACGCCCCTCTGAGGCTCCCTGGCTCTTTCCTCCTCCTGTGCTGTCTACACGGCATCGTTCCTGCTGACCTGGGCTTCCTGGGCACCTGGAATCTGGTCAGTTCCCTACTGGCCCTGCCAATGCCGACCCTAAGTCCTGAGACAACAGCCTCTGCAGCGCCCAAATCGTAACAGTGGGTGAGGAGACAGTGAGCTCTTAACAAAACAATGTACATAAAATGGATCTGGGTATCGAGGCAGTTCCTGACAAGACACTGCAGAACAATTTTAAGACGCAATCTTGTTGGATGTTTTTTAATTAAAAAATACAAACTACTACTTAAATAGAATTTTGCTTGAATCTTCATTAAAGCGGAAGGTCAATTTCCAAAAACCTATCCAAAACTGGCACGGCGCCTTCCACCGCATTTTCTTCCGGTGATGCTCCCGCGGGTCTTTACGTTTCTGGGTCCCGCATCTTTGCAACGTACTTCAGTATTGAGTGCAAGAGGACACTACATTCAATTATCCTGACACTAAATTCAGTTTCACTTCCTGCAATTTTTCCTCTGTACTCCCCAGTCTTCTCCTTTAGCTCCCATTTCTAGCCCGAGAAACCTACTTGTAGCCCTGACACACACGCAGATGGGCCCACCTCAAGCGCGCAGCAGCACGAGCGGAGCGGCTCGGCCGGGAACCCACCTGGTCGGGAGGTAGAGGCCTGTGCTGAAGCTGCCAAATATCTGGACCTGGAAGGGAAGCGCGGCCCCGTCACTACACCGGCCGCCACCGCTGAGCCCCTGCTGCGCCCTGGCAGGCCACATGCCCACTCTGGGGCCAGACACACCTGCCCTGCAGGCTGGGGCCGGAGGCGGGGGACAGGGTGTAGCAAAGCCCCACCAAGCAAAATCCTCTTTGCCCACCCGCTAAAGACCTACCCCAAGAAGGAATGTTTAAAAACTCGGGTTAAGGGATGAAACCATTATCGGCCTTTCCCAAAACTGCTCAAAGTGGACAATTTTCAAACCTGTAGCTACAGTGCAGAAGTGGGGCTCTGCCCCAGGGCACCCAAGCTCACAGACAAAAATGCGGAGTGAAATCACAGGAGAGGAAGGGAGTGAAGGGGCTGCCCCTGCCCCCCTGGGCACACGCAAGCCCTCCCAGCCCAGCGCATGCATCTATCACGGGGTGGTCTCCAGTTACGTCACCACCAGCAGGGCAGGCTGGCTGTTCAGGGAGCCCTGGACCGTCATCAGCTTGGTCAGAGGACACAGGTCACGGCCTATGCCAAGCACCCCAAGTGCCCACGACCCCCATCTCAAGGCACACATGTTCATGCACAGCAAAGTGCGAGGTGAGGGAATTCTCCCCAGTTCTACAAAAAGGAACGTATGCTATGTTGCATAATGAGGACAAGGGGTAGAATTTCTAACCTCAAGGGGAGTTGAAAAGAACGGTAATCACACTACTCCAGAAACAAATTTCCCTCAGCCCACGGTCCCCACACTCACCCAGAGCGCGTGTGAAGCACGGGTCGTGCCCCCGCCCCCCAGCAGCCGCTCGGGGAGGTGCGAGGCAGGGCCTGGGAACCCGCGGGTGCCACCCCGCCACCCTGCCCGGGCCCTCGAGGGCCAAGCCAGGGACTCAGGGCCAGGGACACCCTAGGACCCCAGGCGCTTGCCATCCCTGGTGTGACCCAAGTGCAGTAAAGAGAGAACCCACGTCAGCCGCTGGCCAGAGGTCTTTAACCACGGTTTCAATCCGCTTCACCACCTCCCGTCTCATGGCTGCTTCTTCAGGACAAGGGGACATGAAGTTATAAAAGTCAATGATTTCCTCATGAAGTCTGGTGGACAAAAGAGAAAACACACTCGAGTTACTGTTACAGCTGAGTACGTGCCGTGCGAGAAACACAACGGCTCTTCTTCCCACCACGAGCCCCAGGCTAGACGGGAGCCCCACGGCTGACCCCCCTACAGGAACCCCTGGCAGACCCCCAGCCGGCTCGCTGCGGCGGCGCAGACCCGCGGGCCAACCCTGCCAGCGCCAGGACGGACACTACTCTGGGCACTGAAAGCTGCATCCACAATGACCACAGCGGGGCCAGCTCTAGGAAGCCGAGGTCAGCCCATTTCTGAAGGCCAGAGCAGAACCCTGCAGGCCACCAAGCCCCCCAGGGCTACCACTCAGCTGTCCTCTCCTGAAGGCGCCAGCCACCCAGGGAGTCTCCAAGCCGAGGTGGATACAAGCCCTCTCTTCCTAACAGAGCTCCAATAGTAGCATTCCCAGCAGAAGAGGGAGATGAGAGCCGCCTCGCTTGCACTCAGCCTAACCGTAACCCCAGGAGCCACCTCTCGCACCCTCCACCCGCCCTAGGCGAAAAAGGCCGTCCTAGGGCAGGCCAGGCTTGTGGAGTTCACTTTCAGGGCCAAGGATCTACAGCGAAGACTCCTCCTGGGAGAAGGAAACACCCTCATCCCCAGTCAGTCTGAAAGATGAATTCTAGGGGGCCAAGTAATCAAATCCTGAGAATTAAGACAAATCAAATTTACCTGTTTCACTCTAAGTTTGATTAATAAAAGAGAAGACAAAATAAAACTTGCTCAATAATAATAAAATAACGTTAGCTCAAAAGCTAGCAAAATAGTTCTCATACCAGAAGGGAATACTTCTCAACAGGACAATTAATGTCCAGTGACAAAGGCAAGGGGCATCCTATCACCTCACATACTCTACTGGCCCTTCTCTGTCTCACCTGAAGTGCTGCCCGCACCCCAAAAATCCGCACGGAGCGACCATTCCTAACACTCAGCAGCAGGTCTGAGGGGGCCTGGAGGCCCCTGAGCATTCACGGGACCCTAGGAGGAAAGCAGTGCTCAGCCCCCTTGTTCTCGGTACACCTGCGATACCAATTACACTGTCGCTGGAACTCGAGGTCTATCGCGTCTACGACAGTGGTTCGGCCAGCCCTGAGGACAGTGTTTAACATATCCGAAAAGGTTATAAGTCATAGGACACTGAATTTTCCCAAAATACCTATCAAACTCCAAGGTTTGGGGAGTAAAGCACCTGTCACTTCAACAGTTACTAAGCACCAAGGACACCACAAGGCATCAAACCACAGCCCTGCCAGTAGCTCAGATGGCCTGGGTGAGTCTGAGATGTCATCTAGAACCTGCCATCAACTGGCCACATGGTTAGCAGGACCCGGTACGTCAGGTTAGTGGGTTAGTGGTCACACCAGGAAGAGCCAAAGGCGACCCCGGCTGTCAGCAAGGACATCCTGGGGGATCTGCTGCGTCAGTCACTGTCGCAGCGGAAAACTGCTGGAAGGCGCTCTGCTGGCCATCACCTGGTCCGTGGCAAGCAGAAGAGCACGTGCGCTCCTACAACTGCTAGTACTGCCAACAGTGTAAAACTGAGAGACAAAATAACAAGAAGAGAGGCCAATTAAACAGTGAGGCCAAAGTCAAGCACATGCAAGCCAGCATGCTAGAATTCTACCCACAGCCCAGAAATTCAGTAGCTAAAACACCTTGTAAACAGGGCATAGCAACGAGCCCACCGTGCCACCAACTTTCTCTTGTGCTGTGCACATCTGAAATCACAGCATAAAACCGTCCCCGCCTGCCGGCTTCCAGGACTCTGGTGCTCAGTCACCCTCCACACGCCGGGAAAGGAAGGGGCACGAAGGGAACGCCTGCGCCGGTCTGCACAGACACGATCCCCTCAGTGGGACAGTGTCCGTTTTATCTGATGTCTGCCTGTGACAGAAGAAGGGGCTGCTGAGCACTTCTCTCCTGCCCGTATTTCAGGACAGATGAACAATGAGTCGAGGCGCGCGCGCTCCCAGAGCAGGAAGCGGTGCCAAGTGGGACACACAGGTCTCCTGGTTTCAAGTGTCCCGTTCTGCCGAGAAGATGCGCTAAGAACACACCCAACTGAAATGAGTATGAAATGGGGCCTAAAAGCGACCTGCGGTAACAAGTATCAGACAGGAAGAGTATTTCTGCTTTGCCTTCTGGGACCAGAAGGGGCACTCCGGCCCTAGTACTAGGGCACAAGAAGCCCCTGCTGGCCCTTCCTCAAGGCAAGCAAGGTTCGGCGAGGCACTGCATGACTCCTGGAGCTGCCTCAAGACCACGGCGCTCTGGGGTGTGAGGACACCATCGGCCCAGAAAGACACAGGAAGGTCTAACCATCGTGACATCCGAGCGAACTCCAAGACCCCCTCAGCCGCCTGCCCTCCAAGTGAGGAAGCACCAAAGACCAGGGTCCGGGTGAGGGGCAGGGGACTCGAGCAGGGAGGGGACAGCTGACCACTCCGGGAGGAACGGTGGAATCCGAGCAGTTCAACAGAACCCACGCCAGACGGGGCAGGCAGCAGCCCTGCCCCCATGCCCCTTCCTCCCTCTTCCCTGGGCCCTTCCCGAGCACCGTGCAGGGCCCACGGCTCACCGCCTGATCCCAGCACCAGAACACCACTTGCTCGTGGACGGCATCTGACCCACGGGAACAGATGAATCAAAGCACGTTTTAGTTAAATAAATATTTCACTTATGTGCCTGTCATTTAAGATCACGTTCCCCTTAAAATATATCCCAACTTCACATCCCAAACAGTGCCAAACAGCCCGCAATATTCTACTTCATGCTAACGTTACCCGTACTTACTCCCACTTTACGAAGCTGCGTGTGTCTGACAACACACTTTCACCAGCACGCGCCGTGGGCCACGCACCCGCTGCAGGCGTCAGTACGACCCAGGCCATTTTATGGGTCTATGACCCACATGTTCAACTCTCCAAAGCAGCTCCTCGTGAACGTCCATCATCATTTACGTCCACACGATCGTTACTGCCCAGAAACAAACACGAGGAAGCTCACTCTTCTCACGTATCAAACCTCAAAGGCATTTCACAGCTGACAAGAGATCTACAGAAAACCACACCGAAGTCTCCTTCTCCACAATTAGCTGCTGCCTCGTAGGGTGCAGCGTCAGCCCACCAGAGGCCGGTCTCCAAATCTCCCATGACAATTTCTACTCTGTGACCATCACAGAAGAAATTCCTCTACGAAAGATCACAGAGGTGGCATCTCAAAACCAGCAGGAAACTACAATTATTTAATGGGAGGCCCTGGGACACGGCCTCCTGTGGCAGAAGCTGGCTGTCCACCAGGATGCTAAGGGGCCCCTCCCATAGCCTCAGGTGGCCAGTGAGCCATCGCCTGGTCCCTGGGAAGCACAAGGAGCACATGCTCTCCCGCGGAGGCCGGCAACACACTTCCTCAGACGGTTTCTTCAGGGCAGAGAAGCCCACACAAGCCTGAGAAAGGCCCCCAGTGTGGAGCAAGGCAGGCAGGCAACACAGAGGGATAAGCCCGCGATGGGGATTGGACCACCACGGCTCCATGACTTCTGTCCTCTGTAGGCAAACCAAATCCTGATGCAGGAAACTAAAGACAACGGTGTGAGACTCCTACATTGTTCTACACTTGAGAATGTGATACAGATACAGAGGTGAAATTTCCAGGTGAAAAAAAAGCCGAGAGAAGAAAAAACCCACAGGAACCACCCCTTTCTGGACTCAGAGGAGGCTTTTCCAGACACCAACATAGAACGACAACCACAACACCAAGACTGAAGAACTTTATCCAAAACCATGCTGAGTGTAAACAAACTAAAAGCCAAATGACAACTGCACATGGCAGAAACATGACAAATCTGAGTCTGCACTAGACCAGGCCCTGGCCTACCCTGGGGTAAGCGGGCAACTCACCGCTTCTGAGAACCTGTGACAGGACACACGGACATCCGCAGCGCCTGCTCACTGCGGGACCTCTGGCCGTAAGACATGGTCCCATGTGAGTCACTGTCCTCTCATTAAGAACAAGGAAGATGGGGGCGCCTGGGTGGCTCAGTCGGTTAAGCAGCTGCCTTCAGCTCAGGTCATGATCCCAGGGTCCTGGAATCGAGCCCAGCATCAGGCCCCTGGTCGGCAGAGAGCCTGCTTCTCCCTCTGCCTGCCTCTCTGCCTACTTGTGCTGTCTGTCAAATAAATAAATAAACTCTTAAAAAAAAGAAAAAAAGAAAGAAAGAAAGAAAAAGAATGAGGAAGATATGTGTGCACCAGAAAGGAAAGACCCCCATGACAGACGGCTGGTGCAGGTGAAGACACAGCCCCACCCCCATGCGACTGTCTGGCCCATATACGCACCACATACGTGAGAAGGTCCAGTAGGCCACATGCCAACGCCCACAGTGTCTGCCACCCTGGAGGGCAGGGGGGCTGGTGTGCAAACACTCCGCTCTCTACTCCAGATACATTTTGACTACTTAGGCCTTTTTGTGTTTTACAAGAATGTGCTCATTATATAAATTTAAAAAATAAACAGGAAAAAGTCAACTGCATTTTAGATGACAGGACTGTGATTTTTATTTTATTTTTTTTGCTGGCGTGCATTCTCTAATTTTAATGATGAATACAGATTTCTTTAACAAAAAAAAAAAAAAAAAAAGAGGAAGAAGAAGATCGAGTTAGGCTTCCGAACTCCTGAAGCCTCTTCCCGTCCACCTCACCCAAGACCGTGAGATTCCAGAGCAAGACTGGCTTGTGCAGGTCTAGGTTCACAGAGCAGACACTGAGCACAGCTGAGGGGCACACAGGTAGCAAGCCCAGGGCAGGAAGGGGAGGAGAAGGGAAGGAGGGGAGTAGAGGGGAGGGGAGGGCAGCCCCGTGCTCTCCAGCAAGGTGCAGCCAACACAACATGCCGGGGCATGGCCAGGTTCTGTGCCAGGGGCTACTGAGCACCTGCCCTGGCTACTGCAGCTGTCACCTGACTTAAT